CGAAATTAAGTACACGCAAAAATTAGCAAGAATAAGGTAATTTTTCATAGCAAAACGATCGCTTGATTTTTCAAAGTCATTACGATGAATTGCCAGGATTAAAATGCAGTGCGCATGAACAGAAAATCACGTGAAACAGATAAGCTCGTCTCACAATCTCGTACCCAGGGCCTGCGTTTCTTCTGGCTTGCGGCGATGAATGAGGGCTTTGGCATAATCCATTTTTTGAGACCAGAATTTCTTTGATTTTCTTTCTTTCTTCAGGCTCTGGGTACGAGATTTAGCTCGTCTCCAAGAGTCTGCGTTTCTCCTGGTCAGCACCATCCCTCGTTTTACACGCTGCTGGTTGCTGACCAGGAAGTATGCAGAATCAAATCATTCAAACAGCAACCTCTATTGACAATACGTTTTGCTTAATTTGTTGCCAGTTTCCCGCCGTTTTTTTTTTTTTTTTTTTTTTTTTTTTGAGCAAAAACAAATTGTTGGACTGAAAACATAACCAATAATGTAAGTTTTTGAACTACCTTTTACGAGGCGATCTTCTTTTCACAAAATGCATTTTTTTTAAAGAATTCGAGCTCATTTGCATATTCATGTTCCGAATGATTTATCTTGAAAACTAAACTCAAAATTCTGATTGTCACAGACATCAAAACAAAGTTCTTTTCACAAAAACTTAAAAGGTATGATCCTGAGAATCCAACTAAACTGAGCGAAGTTACAAGAAGTCAAAGTACTCATTTGACTCGATTTGTTTGCCCTAATTCAAAATGGCGGACGAAAGCGTGAAGACACTTACAGGAAAGAAAGTCTAACGGTCTTTTTAAATGATGAATTTTTGAATATCTATATCTATTTGAATATTTTTGAACTATCTTTGAATTTTATGTAGTGTAAAAGAGCTAAAAAAAGATCAGGTTTCCTAACATTAATGCAAACTCATCATTATTTATCATTATAAAAGTGCGTGTTAAGGAAGTTTTATCGACACATCAGGGGTAGGGGTGGGGAGGATATTTGTACTAAATTAGGATTTACAAATTTAGTGTTATATTTTCTCGCACATTTAGTCGTGTCACGATGAATTCGGAATCTTAGAGCTTTTTTCCAGTAAAACCAAAAATACCGAAACAAGTTTAAATATCAAAAATGAGAAAAATTGGTTTGGCAAACTTTCAAATCCCCACTGCCTCCCTGCACGAGATAATTTTTGTTTATTTTGCGTGCGATTTTTCTTGGAACCGTCATGCTTTGTTGCCGACGGCGGTTCTAAGAACTCTAGAGTGTTCCGGTCAACAAGACGGCGGAAATTTTAGTATTGTAGACATTAATTTAGTTTTTTAGTTTTTAAATTTTTGTCTTGGCTTTAATAGTATGAGTGCTTTGAGTCAACATCAGGAAGGTGACATTCCCAGCCGTCTGGATGAAGCCGAAGAACTTATAGGCTTTGAAATTGCGAGTATGATGCATCAAAGTATCCAAGGTGGTATGAACGTAAGAGTCGTGAGACACATCAAGGACGACATTGATGATTTGAAGGAACAACTTCAAGAAAAAAACTTGCAGTTGGACAAACTTCGTAAGAAAGTAAAATACCTTGAAGACAAGAACATTAGTCTTTACATCAAACTCGAAGCGAAGGATGGTGAAGTGAAGGACTTGAAAGAACGAATACGAACGCTAGAAGATGAGAAGAAATCTCTTGAACAAGAATTGGCTTCCGTTCAATACAAGCTGAAGACCGTTGAAGATGATGTGAAGAAACTCGTGAGATCTCGGGAATCTGTCGAGGAAAAATACACGAAACTTGAGGAAAAGTTTAAAACAATTCAATACACCCTGGATAATGTAGTAGAAGATTTGCAGACGACAAAAGATGAGAATAAGAAGTTGAATCTTGAAATAAAACAAGTTCGCCATCAGTCTCGGTATGTGGCTGGTGCCCCCGTGTTAATGCCTGTACCAGCCAGTGAAGACACGAAGGCCTTTGCAAATCTAGGAGAAATGTGCCTACAAATACAAGCTGGGTTCTACGAGAAAATCCTTCCCGACTTCTTCACTCCAATAAGAAGCTACACAATCGCAACTCTGAAAAAAGATATCGACAAGCTTTGTGAAACAGACGCCGAGAAGACCCAAGCTCTTAAACGATGGGAAGACCTCAAAGCCACGCTACAGTTGAGGGAGGACGATTTTGAAGCTCTTAATGTTCTACAGGATATATACAACCGAAGCCTCGACACAAAACCACCAAACCTGAGTATAAGAGTGCTAAAAGAATCGGCCAAGACATTGGAAAGGCAAAACATTTTGAAGGGATGGATCTCTCTGAAGCGAGTCAACCGTCTGATAGATATTTGGAAAAACCTCGTGGACTGTGCTGGTGGAAAAGCCTGAACAATAATTGAAGCCTGAACAATCTGAAACATTTGCTAAGTAGCACGCCTTTTAAAATCTACGAAATCTCAAGCATATTGCTTTGGATATCTGGGATAAAAGAAAACGGGTTAGACCGCTTTTAGCAACATATATAACGCTAGGGATAGGAGATTGCCGGCAGGTTTTCAATGTAATCATATCACACTAGGAATTTCCGAACGTTTAGTACCGTATAAACTTAAACAGAACAAATCTAACTCACTTTATCATTCAATAACTAGATTTGCTACATCAAGTTTATTGTAAATTCTTCGAAGTTTTACAGCATACGCGCGGGGAAATAGACAAAATGCAAATTCTACATTATTTTCTAGAACTCACTAGATTTTGTTTACCAAAGTTAATCGTGTCCCAGTTAGTAACCTTTCGTTTCGGTAGACTTACTCAGTGCACCTGCGCAGCTGCACTTCTAATTATATTTATGCTGATGATGCTATTCTGTTTTTAATATTTTGTTAGTAATTTAGGGGAATTTTTGACATAAAATACGACTTATGATAAGCAGAACTAGTTTATTCAAGGCAATATTAGAATAATGAAAGTAATTCAAAGGTCATGCTTAGTCAACCTAAAATATAGATATTATGATGCGGCCGACTCTTGCTGTGAAGAAAAATCAAAAAACAAAAAACACACACAAAAAAAAGAAAAAAATTTTCTTACCAGAAGATTGCATTAGTTGAGCTGATTCACAGAAGAAAAAAAACTTGAAGGGTCTAACAAGCAGAAATTTGCTCGTAAAGGTTCTAGATTATCTCGAGGACTATAGTCAAGATGTGTGACGTTCAAGTTCTAGGTTATCAGTTTATTCAGAGTTCAGTCAGTCAATGATTTCACAATTCCACGTTACAGGATTAATTTCACGAGTTCAGGTTTTCACGATTCGCTAGAATGACAATTGCAAAACCTTATATGAGAATATATTCTGAAAAATATTCTAAAATCATTCGAATTCCGGATTCATTTTTTAAGAACAACAACAACTTGTCTACTCTTCCCTATAACAACTCTGTACCATTCCCACGAGCTCCTTCTCTCTCTCTTCCACAGGGAACCCGCTTCTATTATGCATAAGCTATAACATTGCTACTTTGCAAAAATCTAAGAAATCTCGAGCATATTGCTTTGGAAATCTGATGGGGAATAAAGAAAATACTCGAAGATAAATTTCATATTTTCGCGCCACCGTGTAGCATTCTCTATATATCAATAGCTATATTGGCTAAAATTTATTGTAAATTATTTTGACTCAGTAGAATCTCGAACAGTGGCGGATCCAGGACTTTAAGAAGTGGGGTTCATTTTTGCAAGTCTCGGCACAACAATAACGTTCTCTTGCATCATCATTTTTCCTATGAGGCACATCACTGGCCTAGGGGCGCTACTGATAAGGATAACCTATCCATCAAAAAGTGGACCTACCATACTTTCATTTATGTAAAAAAATATAAACAATCCAAGGTACCAGCCGGAGATGGGGGTGGGGGGTGGGGGGGTCGAGGGAGGAGGGGTTAATTTGCACCCAATGAACTGTTTTGAAGCCTTTAAAATGCGACTCAGTAGTGATCTGCAGAACTAGGCACAGCTTATTGAAGGCAATATTAGAATAATAATAATAATTTAAAGGTTCCTTTTTTTGCGATCCTAATGCATGTAAGAAGATAGATGACAGTTGTCACACAAAAAACTAGTAAAATCTATCGGACAAGCAAACTAGATTAATTTTAGGACGTGCTCAGGCATATTCGCTCAGTTCGAGACGAAAGTTATATATTTACACCCCGCTAAAACTGGAAGAACCCGATAGGCCGAGTCCCAAAATATAAGTACACATGTACAAAACAAGCCGATATAATTGATTGGCGAAAAACAATTTTTAAAACATTGCCTTAACTACTGACACACGGTTGTTAGACCGAGAAGAATGTTTTAAGTTGTGGCGCAATTCAGTTTCGTTCACTAGTAGTCAAAAGCTCGTTTGAAGAACTGGTTAAGAACTGACTAAAATCAAGGTAAGTTATTTTGTTTTTGGGGACTTTATGTCGTCAGCCACTTCCTTTGTTTTACAAAATGTTTAAACTAACTTAACAATAATTTTAGTAATGATGAAAAGGTAAATTATACACCGTGAAAAAGATGAAAAAACTTACTGAAGTTTCGGACGCTAGTCAGTAAGTTTTTTCATCTTTTTCACGGTGTATAATTTACCTTTTCATCATTACTGTTTCATTAGAAACACCGACGCAGCTCACACTAGTTTTTAGCTAGTTATGTCTTCTAATAATTTTAGTAGCCTATCTCATATGGTAAAAATGGAATAGTTAATTATTTTGAGAAATTTTTCAAGCAAAACACTCCGCAATACAGGGTACTAGTAGTTGTGAATCGATTTCACGATGTCGGACYGGGTAAAGTCTCTCTTCATGATCACATATAAATATCAATAAAAATTCATAAGTAATGGTAAAAAAACACCGCTAGATAAAAAAGAATTCGTAAAACCAATAAATTTGCTCAACAATATTAAGATTTTTAAGAGACTAAGGATGTCAGCAAAAATCGAACATACGCCGGCAACACTAAAAGTCGAAAAATCGAATTTCAGTTGTTCATATTTTGGTATTAGGAAGACCTTGATGCGATATAAACCGTGGTATACTTCATTTGCCAAAATATCGCTTTATTTCCGAGAAAAACGAAGAAAACCAATTTGTGCATAATTGACCCTCTGAGAGAGCCAAAATATCATCCAACTTAGAGTGCCTTTGCAAAAATGTGTATGGACTTGATTGTTGAAAAACGTTTTTTAACATTATCTTTAAATCTGTGAAATTTTTCTTCTTGGTAGACAATGTGCAACGTTGTGTTATTGGCTGCGGTTCCACTAGGAGTTTAATACTGAATTACAGTCTGGCTTTACCCTCTGTCGATTTAAACCATTATTATTAATTATATATCTAAATTATATAACACGTGATTATTCAGTTAATAAAGAAAGTCGTGACGGAGCACACCACAGTTTTAAACAACACGAGGTTGAATAACACGATATGGTGTCAGAACGGGATTGAAAAGCCAAGAAAATTAAAACTAAGGGGAAAAAACGTAKARCAGTCATCCGTGAATTTTGAAGAAAAAGTGAAGTTATAAACACTCGGAAAAGATGGGAGACGCCGAACACTCCGAACACGTCGAACAACCAAGCCCGCCAAAACAGATATCTGTGAACTATCAAGTTCCACACCACCTGAAAAAATTTAGCTTCAAACCCGAGGAATGGCATAAGTGGATTCGTCGATTCGAAACGGATTTCGACAAGCCACAGGACTCGATAAAAAGGACGATTACTATATCGACTTTTACAACACTGTGAATTCCAGACACTGAGCGACGAGGTAATTAGAGATGGGATCGTGGTCGGAATTAGAGATCGAAAACTCTCAGAAAAGCTTCATGATCAACTGGATGCAAAAGTGACGCTAGAAACCGCAGTAAGACCGGTAAAGCAGGGGAGTAGGGGAGATATACATGTCGTTCTACCCTACCCTGGTAGGTAGTTTTTGTCGTTCCACGCGTAGCTTTAAAGACGAAAAACTTAATGAAGTGATGGTGGTAATATGTTTTCCATCAGAAATAAGCTTAAAATTTAAGAGAAAAGATCGACAAGTTTCAGTTTTTAGGGTAGAACGACGTGTATCTCCCCTACTGGGGAGACAATTAGGCATACTGACTGAGCCCACGGCGGGGTTGCGGTTGGATATCGAAAACTTGCAAGTTATGAATTTGAATGTCGCATTACGTAAAATACAATGTCGAATACTGTAAAGTACAAAGTTGAAGTGTAAAATTTACGTTTTGCATTGATGAAATATGAAAGCAAGTTAGAAACTGCAATGTTCAAGTCTAAAATAAGCAAGAATGACAAGAAGACAATGCCAAAAACGAAGCTCGAATTTTGGCGGAAATTGCACGCCATAGTCACCTTCATACCAGAATATAAGTTTGAAGAACTGCAACTCCTGGGGGAGTTAGAAACAACCAACAAAGTTCTGATGGGACCGTGCAAGCACAGAATGAAATGTGCAGGAAAATTTAAAGCACAGCCCCACGCTTCATCCATGGGAACTGACAGCGAATGAAGAAATATACGTAGTGAAAAATCGAAAGCGGTCGAAAGCAAAGGAAAATATAAAATTATTTTAGGGTCGATGAGTCAACTTTAGTTTCGTAATATGAATCTACAAAAACCTTTTCGACTTATTTCATAATGCTTTAATTAACACTCACAGCACAAAAAGAGAGATTTGCATGCGTTTAATGGTCATGGAATGCCTACACTTATAACTATTTTAAACGGACTTACGTCACTTTTACGTAAATTAAAGAACAGCTTTACGCTAGCTTTCAGGGCAAGTGTAAAACAGACTTAATGGAACAATAAAACGCGTTGTTTAAGGATGCTCTGGGTAGTTTTGGTCTAGCACACCTAGCCGATCTGCAAGCACTTTTCACCCAATGTCAAGAAAGGTTTAAGGTTTCAAAAATGATAAATTAGTTTAGAGCGGCCTTTTCATTATGACGTAATGATGACATCATAAAAATCGTTTATCGCTTATTTTCTCCAAAACTAGACCTAAACTTTCAAAGCGACTTGTAACAGTCGATAGTATTCATCAAGGCACCCAACATATTGCAATATGAAAAAAATGTATGAGAGCGTTTTCCAAATATTACGCGATGAATATTTTCATGGACTTTTACTATTATTTCCAGCGTGTCAACTTTATACCCTCAAAATCGGGACTTTAATTTAGTGGATTCAATAATTTTAGTAGCTAGAATATAGGTACGGATATAGACACTGTCCTTATTGAGTATGAATCAAATTGTGACTTTCTTTCTAAGATTATGGATTATTTGATATGAAGGTAAATGACCCCATTTGTTGTCAAAAGCGATAGAAAATATCGATGAAAGCGGCATACGATTTTTTTCTAAATGAAGTCAAGCTTGAATAATCAACAAGCAGCCGTGAGAGAAAATAGTTGTGAGCGTACTTATTTTTATTTGACTGCCTTAAAACCGACGATTTTTTGAATTTCTTTTTATTTGGAATATATTTATTTATTTTTAACATAATATTATAACATGTATTATTCTTATTGTTTCTTAATTACAAATTCTATAATAACTTTACGGAACTAGCGGTTATTTAAACAATACGCGTAATACGTAAATCTTTGCTTAAATGAACTTAACTTGAAAATAATGCAATCGTAAATTGTTTGTAAATGTATGGTTTACTTCGAATTTTTACAACAAATTTAAGGGTGTCGCGGATAGCTTAACTTTAAGTTCACTTTTCTTTTAATGTGAGTGAAGCTTATTTCCTGACATTAACGTGAGAACGTAAATCTCCATTAAGTTACCACTTTAAGTGTCATTTACATCAGCTTTACGCGATGTAAAGATGAAGTTTAAGTAGCTTTATCAACGGCGTAGTTCTTAAAACAACTTTAAGCAGCTTTACGCTAAGAAAAAAATGCGGTAAATCTCGTTTTTTGTGCTGTGACTACCATAAATATATACAGTGTTCAATATAAAATGGCAGTAGCTACAAGTATCATGGTATTTTACTTTTTTCAGAAAAAAATCCGGGAACCACAATGGACCCAAACCATGATCAAAACAACATCGAAGACGAAATCCGTAGAAACAAGGAAAGGATAGCCTCTTTGGAGAGAGATTTAAAAGAAAGTTTGCGCAGCAATGAGGATCTTAAAGATAGGATCAACGCTTTAAAAGAGGAAATACAAAACTTGAAAGATAAGAATGAATTGTTGAACAAACAGCTGCAAGAAATGAAAGATGATAATGAGTCAATAAAAAAGAGAATGGAGATTTTAGAGAAAGAAAATGATTATCACAAAGCTATGTTGATTATTGTGCAAATTGGAACAGCCATACAGAGAAATTTGTGCAAGTACGTCCTGGGAGAATGCTTCAAAGAACAAAACTTCTATAAGTTTAAAGATATAGACAAATACGTGCAGCAAGATCTGAGACATGACAGGAAGGCCCAAGAGTCGGCAAGAAATCGGCTGGCGGAAATAAGGGAAAAGATTCCTTGGGACCAACGTTTGGTGGATAGTCTTAAAAATCTTAAGCAAGCGAGAAATGGCATTGCTCATCCTGACCTAAGCAGCGAAAACATCCAACAAGCAACAGATTATTTGAAAAAGGAGAATATTTTGGACGAGGGAATGGTCCACAATGTTAACGAACTAAAAAGACTATGGAAAACAACCGAAGAATTGTTAAAGTAAGTTTGCATTTTGTACATAAATCAATTCTTTCATAAATCAAAATATCTCTGGATGCGTTATGATTTGCACAACCTATTTTCTGAGTCTAGTGCAGCAACGAAACCTATTGCATGGTCAGGGTTGTTGATAATACTGTAATGATTTAAATTATCATAAAAGTTTGGAAATTGCTTTTATTATAACCTGAGTGGGGAGGGGGGAGAGGAGAGGCGGAGAAAGGAAGAGAGTCTGACTCCAATGCTATTCTGGACACACGCGTCTGATTGGACAAAAAAACATTTGGCAGAAGTAAAATTACAAATCTAACACCTCATCAGTTTATGAGACAGTCATCTTGTATTTTATCATCGATCTAGCTGACTAAAGTTTTTACATAATGTATAAATTAAGTATTTTACTCAAAATGAAAACTATCTTTGTGTTTATACTATATAAAACTAACGTTACCTTTTCAATGAAAATTATCAACTCGCTCTTTATCATCGCTTCTTCTCTGTTGCTGGTCCAATACTTTGGAACTCTTTGCCCGATAGCACWAGAAGAAGAATTGACTCTTTAAATCTATTAAAGTCTTTACTGAAAACATTTTTGTTCGTACAGCAATTCCATAATATTTCCATAATAATTTTTCCCTTATTTAACAATTTTTCGCCGAAGGCGAAGTGAATGTCTGGGAATAATAACCAAAACGAAGTTGAGGTTATTATTCCCGATATTCACTGAGCTGAAGCGAATAATTGTTTTAGTATAAATACACAAGTGATTCTTTCAAAAAAAGAGGAAGATAAAAGACACATTATCCCCCGGTAACAGCAACAAAGCGGCTGTCCGCCATTTTGGATTATCGCTATAGGTTATTATCGTGTGATAATCTGAGTTTCTCGACCAATCAGCGCTCGAGATTTTCAATAATCACCTGTGTATTTATACTAGATATTTATATTTACATATATTTTTTTCCTCTCTGCCAGCAGGGCCGCTGGAGGTTCTGAAGATGGTCCTGAAGGCGGTACAATGGATTTGTCTACAACAGAACAAAGCCAAGACACCTATGTCAGCAGGAGCACTGGAGGTCCTGAAGATGATCCTGAAGGCGGTACAATGGATTTGTCTACCGCAGGACGACAAAACCAAGACACCTTTGCCAGAGGAGCCACTGGAGGACATTACCTTCACACCAAAGCATAGGGTGATAGTTACTCATGTACATAGCTCAGTTACCAAAACCATCGATCGATTGTGAATGATCGATGGTTTTGCATAAATACAAACATTTGTAGCTTATACAGTAAAACTCCTCTATACCGGTTTAGCGGGGATTCCGGTATCCTAAGGTTTTTGGGAATGACTTTTAATTTGTTTTCGACTGAATAGGTGCGACTTCACACCTATTGAAAATATGTTTGTGTCTAATTGTTTGGCGTCAGTATAAACAAACACGTAAACTAAAGTAATAAGATCTCAATGCAATTATTTTGGAAAGGATATGTCTTTTCCAATTCACACGCACACACACAAACAAATTTTACCTATAATAACTTTACTTTAAAATCCTATAATCTGGTATTTTTAAAGGAATATTTGTCTTTCAATTCGACAAAAAAAAAACAGCATTCTGCAAGCTTACGAATTTAACACTTATCAATTTCACTAAAGTAAGACATTTCAAAAGTTTTAAAAATATATAGATCACAATAAGCTCAGGCTGACCACAAACGTGCATCAAATATATTCAATGATATAGATATAGCCATTTAAAACTAGCTGCAAATAGTTAGATCTGCTTGCCATGGCTCGCATGACCACGTAAAATGGTGGTCCCGTCGCACTTAGAGACGTTAAACATAGAGGGCGCCACAAGTTTATCAGTTACAACTGTCACGTGCTACCCTCTCTAAATAACTTCGTCAATTCTATTTTTGCTTTCATTTTCTACGTATGCATGCTTATATATGTTTTTCAAATCAACTTATGAATATTAAATAGCTAAATATGGTTAGTCAACAAAAACGCCGGTAGCCGAAACCTAAAATGGATCTTTAAGGATCATGGTTATAATTTCATAGCTTTTTGTTGCAAACTGCGGCTGTTATATCACAGCATGGGGCAATAATCACAACAGAGCCCTAAGCTACACCTGTAGCGAAAGCCCAAACATCGAATTAGAATTTAGTAGTTGATTTTTGAGGCGGGAGAATAACCGGAGATTCGGATCTAATTTGTTAATAAGATATTTGGCAAGGTTTACCAGGGACGTACTCAGATGGGGTTATGCATGGGATCCTCGTACTACAATAGCCTAATTTCGAGTTTTAATTTTTACACACGCAAATTTCGTAAGATTTTAAATTCCAATTTTCTAAAAGGAGAAACGAAAAGTCGGTGCTATTTTCCGTACCTTCCACACTACTAGAACTATTTTCTTCAAGAACGAGTTTACACACACGAATACACTTAAATTTCAACACTAGATCTCGCGGGTTTGCCCCCTCGACCCCTATCCCTTCTCCCCCCTCCCTTCCCCTCAATTTCTTCCTGGCTGCGTCTCTGTACCAAACTGTATATTTTTTCTAAGGTTTTTATTTAATTATTATTACTAAGTACAAGACTGTAAAAAATGCACTCTGCAAAAAGGTTAGCTAGCAGTGTAAGCCCCTTGTGCAAGTCACACTATGCTTAAGCTATGTAATTTTTCATAGTTTTGATTCTCAGAAAAAAGAGACATATTGTAAATAAATGAGAATCACCAAATGAAGTCTAATAAAATCACATGTCTTCTTTTGAAATTTGTTCTGTTTTTTCTTCCACTATCAACTATAATATTATCATTTGTGAAGAAAAATAAAATTATTTCCACAAAGTTGCAGGGGTAAGAAATGACGTGACGAGCTATTAGGAATCAAGGGTATCGTAGCAGATAGTGCACTGTCCTCTCACATACGGCTGTTGGCTCTAGGGATTTGATTTCTAGACTCGACATTAAAGAAATGGAAATAGTAATCGTATGGGTGGGAAACATACGGTACTGACTTACAGCACGTACACGGTATGACATGCCGTAACATTGAAATGGCTTCCCATAAGAACGGTTATCGTATGGGTGGGAAACGTACGGTACTGACTTACAGCACGTACATGGTACGACATGCCTTAACATTGAAATGGCTTCCCATAAGAATGGTTATCGTATGGGTGGGAAATAAACGGTACTGACTTCAGCACGTACACGGTACGACATGCAGTAACGTTGAAATGGCTTCCCATAAGAACGATTATCGTATGAGTGGGAACCATACGGTACTGTCTTAAGCCCTGTCACACGGTACAATTTCTCGTGCTACGGAGACACGTTGCACGAGCATGTCACACATAAATTTTTATAAAAGCTGTTGCGGAAAGTAGAAGCCGTTTCTACTATTGTCAGTGGTCTCACTGGTATGTAAATGTAAGAGAATTGATTAGCATATCAATCATTCCACTTCAAGCCTGCCACGGCTCAGACTTGTTCCTTCTAGCTCAGGCTTTACCAAGAATTCGAGCTTTACTGAGGCTTTGAACAATGTCTAATACTCTGGAATTACCGCAGGACAGGGTCGTCGAAGCGCTTGGAGCTGTCCAAGGTAAACACAACGAAGAACCAGTTCAAGATATCCTAGAAAGATTTCACCGACCGAAGGGGCAGACCCTCCAGTGCTTTTTGAGGCAAATATATTTTCCCTTTTTCTAAATATATTTTATTTTCATATTAAACCCCGGTCAAGGAATTAAAAAAAGTAGTTTATGGCCTTTCGCTTCGTGTGGTGGTGTTTTAAAACGTAGTGGCGTTTGTGAAAATAAGTTTTGCCTTTTGCCTCGTGTGGTTGTGTTTCAAAACTCTCAAGTGGCGTTTGTGAAAAGTTTTGCCTTTCGCCTCTGTGGTTGTGTTTTAAACCCTTGAGTGGCGTAGTGGTCTTAGGGCGAATATTCTTTTGATATGTTCTTTGCGGTTGTGAAGCATTTTACATGTTTTTGGTTTGTAAGTTTATTAATAGTATTTGTGTTGTGGTAATTCATTGCACCCTGAGTTGTTCAAGGCCTTTTGTTTGCTTTGCGCACCGTTAAGCTTTCGCGGTCCCTCGTGCAAGTTATGCACGGGACTTTCTTTCGTTTTACAGGAACACAAGGCTCTCTTTGGAGTATTTCCATTTTTGTATAGCTGCGATAAAAATTGCTGTATTTTGATATTGGGTCTAAAAAGTGTTTGCCCTCCCGATCTAGGATGACAGTTTTGAAGGGGAATCTAATTTCCCAGTCGGATTACTGGCGCTCAAGACTGTCATTTCCTGAGCCACTTCCTCCTTGTTACATGTACTTCAAATTACGAATACAGTTGCGTGATGAGTTACATCATCATTCCAAATATTGCTAGTACAAACGTACTGCAACAAACTCGAATAAACCTTCACAAGCACTACAACTTACCTATATTATCTTCTAAACCTTCAACCAGTATGTTATCAACCAGTTTGTTTTCAACCAGTTTGTTTTCAACCAGTTTGTTTTCAACCAGTATGTTATCAACCAGTATGTTTTCAACCAGTATGTTATCAACCAGTTTGTTTTCAACCAGTATGTTATCAACCAGTATGTTTTCAACCAGTTTGTTTTCAACCAGTTTTCAACTTGGTTACAATAGATAATATTAGTTATCTAAAATATTAACATGAATTAATCTTTATCAGACTGATAAAGTAACCAGAGAATCCGATGTAGGAAGGTCGCGTTTTAAATAGCAGCCTTTTTATCCAAAGAAATCCAGGGTGAAATCGTCAATTTATACATCTAGTTTAGCTAGGCTAGTTTAAATAGAGTCATGTATAAAAAAAATATAATTACAAGAATATTATAGAGAAAAAAGAAAAGAAGAAAAATAGTAATGCGCGAAAGAATATTAATTAGCGCTTGAAATGGCGTTTTGCCTTGGTCTTAAACTCTTTGAAGGTAGAACTATTCCTAATATCTAAAGGCAGTAGATTGAAAGTACGCGCTCCGTTAATACGAAAACTGCCCTGATATTTGGATGTCTTAGCTAATGATATGCGCAGTAGGTCACGATGTCTAGTACGATAACTGTGAATTTCCCTGGCATGTTTGAATTCGCCGATGAGGTACTCAGGGGCTAAACCATGGATTGCTTTAAAGACTAAGATTGATTTCAAATAGTCTCGCCGTTTCTGCAGGTCAGACCAGCTGAAAACATTAGATAACTCGGCATACTCAACAGATCTGCCTTCAATGATAATGCACAATCAATTTATTTTGCTGAACATATTTTACATTTAACTTTATACATATTACGTAATTATCGTTTTAGTTGTTGTTAGAGTCTGAGGGCTATTTAACTAGTTTTAAAAGTGTTTAAACTTATTAACAATATGGGCTTCATCCACAGCCACAGCTCTAACATTTTCATGGCTTTAATCCTTCGTCGAACACCATTTGGAATTTCGACTGCGAATTATCAATCAAAAGCTACTTCCCAGGATATGGAAAGTTCGCTCTGATTGGCTGGTTCAGACAAAAACTCGGGCATATAATGGCAATTAATTTGCAGCTCGGTTCAGCACACTCTAGATAAAATCGAGTCTGCAAAGCAGCTAAATAGAGCTAGGTTGTTAGGCCTTATTTCCATTGTCTTCTTTTATGTCTATTTGACTATCATACACTAACTTAGTACTAGAAACTGTTTCACGGTCTGCCGCGAAAAATCACTATCAGAGGCATAAATAATTAAGTTAACTTGTAGGCAGTCCAATGTATGTCATACGTTTTGTCGGAAAGACGCAGACACAAAAAGCGCAGGCTCTGGTGATATAAGATGGCACTCGCCGTAGAAGAGTCAAAAGTGTCAAATCATGAAAAGTCCTTCTTTGATCGCGCTTTAGGGTGAATGCATGAGCAGCTCAACAGGAGTTTAGTGCATTGTTTCTTGCGGCTCGATATTCGATCACTCCAAAAACCAAAGTGACCAATTTCAGTAGCGCTGTCGTAAAAACAGATATGTAAATTTAGAGTCACGTGATAAGGCTCGGCGGAGAGAGAGAAGTCAGGTGAGAGAAGTGAGAGTTCTACTGTAAAAGGTCGTTCGCAAAAAAAATCAAGTAATTTTAAGTTATACGGAGTTAAGCTTTCATTAAATTTCGAGTCCCGGTTTTTATTTTTCATAACGATGAACGCTAGATATACAGTTCTATACAGGGCTTACAATTCGACTGGAGATATCAATTCTAATTATACTTGCATTTTCTTTTCTTTGTGAGTCTTTGCATATAATTTTCGACATTTATTTAAGGGCTTTGGCAAAAGTAAACTTCTCTTGGTTATCGGCTTATCCAATTATCTAAAGAACATTAATATAACGTCAGGATTGCCTGACTCAGATATACGCAATCGGCTATTGTCATTCACTTGAACTCGAACTGTCTGCGGCATATTTGTCCAGAAGCTCGTTCATCTTATCCAAAGTAGCCATTACCTTGTTACATATTGCCACATATGCATCTTCAGACTTTCGTTTTCGTTTCCCTTTAAATCGTTTTCGCTTTTCTTTTGGACTTTTGCTCTCAGCTTTCTTTACGACTTCCTCAGTGTACATCGCTTTCTTCATTTAAGCTTGTTTCATTACTTATATCAGTAGACATATGACTCAACTTGGTCTTCCATCGATCTTCGGGACTCACCTTTTCCGCATAACTCATTTTGGATGCCAGAATCTCCGACATAGGTCCTGACACAGGAATAGAAGATTCGCTAGCAGCTTTAAGTTGACTTCTTACGATACGGCGAATACGATTAATTGCTTGCTGACTCTCTTGTTCAAGTTAAAACTTTACAACTGGAGAAGACAATGGAAGCGATTTAAGATTCTTCTTAACATGTTGAAGAACATTTTCCCAACTTTATCCGCTTTTTTCTTCATAACACTGAAGAACCAATGCTTTTTCTGGTTCAGTTATTCGTACACGTCTTTGTGCATGTGATCGGGACCTGTAGTATAAAATACCGAGATTAAAATATTTGTTGTTACAAATGCAAACTTGGGTATTTATCAATTGTTCAGCTCTTGATTTTAAATACCTTTATCGTCCTTATCCATCGTAGGTTTACTTCCTACTTTTTACAACGTTTGGTCCCTCTGCTACTCCTTCTTATTTCCTTGGGTTGTCCGTTCACATATTCAACAGTCCTTTGATAAATCGCCTTCCATTTCAACCTGATTTCCCCTTCCATGGGCGTGACGTGTTCAGCATGTACCATCGTCACAGATATTTGTTTTGGCTTAATACCGGCGAATTACCAGAGACCCTTGAACAGTTCGTGTACGATATTGCACTAAGTGGAAATGCGTCGTCATAATAGAGCAGTAATGATGAAAAGGTAAATTATACACCGTGAAAAGATGAAAAAACTTACTGATTTTTCGGACGCTAGTCCTTCGTCGGAGTAAAAGAGAAAGAGGTGGTAGAAAGGAGTGTATATATGATAGAATAAGACAAAAGAAACCAATGAGAACAAGGTAGGCAAGGAAACAAAAACAAACAATTAAAAGACAAAAGAAAGGGTTAGTTGAAAGTAAAGCGTTCATTAATCCTGTTGGGACTAAGAGTGCCCAATAGGTGAATAAGCCGCATTTCTTTGGTCTTGCGACAATCATTGTTGCCGTTAATCAAAGAAAGAACGAAAACAATGAAGTCAGAAAGAGAATGATTAGCTAGATTAAATAATAGAGATGGGAATATTCGACAAAGGCAAAGAAGAGGAAAATTAAATTTGAAAAATTAAGTGTTGTTAGTGATGATGTGGCTCCTTAAATACTCTTATCTGAATAGCCTTGCAAGTTAGAACACAGAACCGTAGTTTAAAAAAATAAATAGAATATCTAGAACACTACGTGCCTAGGCGTATAGTTAGAAACAACACCAGTGAATCGTTGCACGTTGTCTACCGAGAGGAAGGTTACTCGGACACGATGAGCTTAGTGGTAAACAAAATTTATGAGTTCTGGAAAATAACGTAGTTACCAGGAGTTTGTTGCATTTTCTCGCGCATAAATGATGAGAAATCTATCGCGAATGAGCTAAACTAAACAGCTATTTTACCAACATTCTTAAGCAACTTGGAAATAACCAACTGTCTGATCATGCAGTTTTTGATGATTCAAAGCTCAGAGAATTCATTTCCTCTAGACTAAACACTGAGTCACTGATATTATTGGAAACATCTCTGTCAACAAAGCCACTGACCATGGCGGTATCAGCGCTAAAGTGCTCAAACTAATTGTACCAGCATTTATTAACCCGCTATGCAGATTATTAAACTTATATATAACAACAAATACCTTTCCTAACAAATGGAAAGTTGGTCAAGTTACTCCATTGCACAAAGTGGGCAGCAATGTGAAAGAAATAACTACCGCGCCATATCATTTTTGCCTATTCTATATTTAATTGAAGAATCGTTGTCGGGTTCAGAAACGCAGAACATAAAAGGTGAGACTGAAATGGTACATGGGAAATGACATAACTATATTATAATTTACTCATTTGCGTCATCCATGCAGTCGGTTTAGAATACCTAACGCGTATTAAAAACAGTGGATGATGCCACTGACAATGTTGTGAAAGAAATTTCAAATGAACAGAACCCCAAAGAGAAATTAATTACACTTCCGGTTGACGTTTAATACGATTTGTTCAGAAACCAAACATGCTGAGACTTATAGTTAAAAACAACACCAGTGAAATCGAAACGTTGTGTGTCTACCGAAACGAAAGGTTACTGGGACACGATGAACTTTGGTAAACAAAATCTGATGAGTTCTAGAAAAGAATTTAGAATTAGCATTTTGTCCATTTTCCCACGCGTGTGACGTAAGACTTCGGATTTCGGATTCATAGGGGTTTTATGTTCTCATGTAACATTTGTCGAGGTTCGCTGAACGCAGTAAATATTGACCACAAGTGCTTTTCACTCAAGTTTCTTTATTTTGTGTTGGACAAGCAACAGGTGAAAAATCCCTATAGTCTCCTTCAAACCGAAAGCTACAAGACCAATCACTAGTGCACGACTTCTTTTCTTTCTCTCACTAGGGAGACATTAAAAGGAGACTGCCAGCAGGGTATCTGTGATGAAGTACTGCTGTGATTTTTTCATTTGCACATCATACTTATAACTAAAATATATTTTGATTAATTTTTTCCTCGATATTCACCTTAAAGTTTGCAAACGAACTCGCATTTTTCCATAACTCATTATTTGTGCTAACTTTTTCACGATCTGCAGCAATTACTACCCGGAACATGGCATGTTCCTTCTAGCCCAGGCTTTACCAAGACTTCGAGCTTTACTGAGGCTTTGAGCAATGTCTAATACTTTGGAAGTACCGCAGGACAGGGTCGTCGAAGTGCTTGGAGCTGTCCGAGGCAAACACAATGAAGAACCAGTTCAAGATATCACAGGAAGATTTCACCGACCGAAGGGGCAGACTCTCCAGCGCTTCTTAAGGCAATATATATTCTCTTTTTTTTATTTATTTTTTATTTTCATATTAAACCCCGCTCAAAGAGAAAAGTAGTTTATGGCCTTTCGCTTCGTGTGGTTGTGTTTTAAAACGGAGTATTAGCGTTTGTGGAAATAAGGTTTGCCTTTTGCCTCATGTGGTTTTGTTTCAAAACCCTCGAGTGGCGTTTGTGAAAAGTTTTGCCTTTCGCCTCGTGTGGTTGTGTTTTAAACCCTTGAGTGGCGTAGTGGTCTTAGGGCAAATATTCTTTCGATATGTTCTTTGCGGTTGTAAAGCATTTTACATGTTTTTCGTTTGTAAGTTTAATAATAATATTTGTTTTGGTAATTCATGCACCCTAAGTTGTTCAAAACCTTTTGTTTGCTTTGCGCGTCGTTAAGAGCTTTCGCGTTCCCTCGTGTAAGTTATGCACGGTTTTTCTTTCGTTTTCCAGGAGCACAAGGCTCTCTTTAAAGTATTTCCATTTTTGTATAGCTGCGATAAAAATTGCTGTATTTTGATATTGGGTCTAAAAAAATTTTGCCCTCCCGATCTAGGATGACAGTTTTGAAAGGGAGTCTAATTTCCCAGTCGGATTACTGGCGTTCAAGACTGTCATTCTCTGAGCCACTTCCTCCTTATTTATTGTTTATTATTTCTCTTTTTCTTTTTAGCTTGTTTTTCCTCCACAGGAATAGACTCTGTTCTCTGTAGTCTGTTCTTCGCCCGTCAGTGAAAGACACGCCGTCATTGGTGTGAGAAGTAATTTTATTATAGATAATATTAGTTATCTAAAATATTAATATGAATTAATCTTTATCAGACTGATAAATTAATCAGTAATCCAAGGATATCCAGTGAAATTTTCAATTTTTACATGAATTGATTTAACTTAATACACCGTATGGTTAGTGATGTTGAGAAACTGACGTTTCGGATTAAGTTAAGTCAATTCTCCTACTGTTCGATTCCAAACACCGACGCGGTTAACTAGTTTATCTAGTCTCTACCATATTTTACATTTAACTTTATACATATTACATAATTATCGTTTTAGTTGTTGTTAGAGCCTGAGGGCTATTTAACTAGTTTTAAAAGTGTTTAAACTTATTACCAATATGGGCTTCATCCACAGCCACAGCTCTAACATTTTTATGGCTTTAAACCTACTGTTTAATGGCAATTAATTAGCAGCTCGGTTCAGCAGACTCTAGATTTTGGCGAGACCACCGAGAAGGCTAAATAGAGCTAGGTTGTTAGATCTTCTTTCCATTGTATTCTTTTATGTCTATTTGAATATCATACACTAGCTCAGTACTAGAAACTGTTTCACGGTCTGAGAAAAATCCCTTTAATCATAACTTGTAGGCACGTTTTGTCGGAAAGGCGAGACCACAAGTAGCGCATGCTCTGGTGATATAAGATTACACTCGCCGTWGAAGAGTCAAAAGTGCCAAATCATGAAACGTCCTTGATTGATTTCTTTTTTTTCGTTTGGGCCAAGACCATGTGCTGCTAAAGGTTCCATCAAAGCCACCAGTGATTTGATCGAAGTTTTTAAAAAAATCTTACAGCGAGAAAAAAGTCCTTTTGTACTTTTTCTGAGGGTAGAACTAATGCCTCAGATTTAATTTCAGCAAAAATCCTCCAATTCTTGCAAGTTTTCTACGGGAAATATCTGAATAAAATCACTTTTCACTAAAAATCCTTCGAAAAGTAAACAAATTGGCGTATTTGTGTGGAAGCCCGCGATTTTTTGGCTAGCGTTCGCAAAATTCCCCCCTGCTGGTCAACGAGATTGTCATCAATTAATATAAGATTTGCTGGTACTAGAGCGTGGAATTCTGCTGATGAAAAAATTAAAATGGTATCCAGCATTTGTCAGTTTAAAAAACATTTAAAAGAATCAATCATCTACTCATACAAAAACATCTTCAATAATCAAACGTCATCATCGTAATCATCCTATTGTATAGTAGTATTATCTATTTATAAATTCATCTATTTTTTGCTTGTATATGTTATAAGTATATAAGATATGTTTATACTTGTATTTTATACAGCCGGCTGCGTTGCAGTTTGCTGGTTATGCGTGTATATATTCATATGTATATGCATATGTATGTATGTATAATTTTTTGTTTTGTAAATTGTGCCAGTTTGCTGGTACCTAGTTTAAGGTTATAACTTTTTGTGTTATACGTATATTATATGTAATTAAGAGTGCAAAATAAAAATGTCACTGTCATTGAGATTGATGTCACCTTTTGTGAAATTCTTGGAAATCGTTTGTTACAGCTGTCACTGGCCCGGAACTGGTGATTGGTAGCTTTCGGTTTGAAAGAGAACATAGGGATTTTCACCGTTTTTTTGTCGAACACATTCTAAAAATGACCAACAAGCAACAACTGGATCTTGGTAATGCGGCAAGAAATGTGTCTCCTAATGAACAGGCAGTCGGTCTTATCGCAAGATCGGTAGCACAATTACAAGGCATACAGGAGAAACCAGAGAGTTGAAAGAACACGGCGAACTGAAAAAGACGCCGAGATAGTCGAGCTTCGAAAAAATGTAAAGCAACTCGTGAAGAGAACAACAATAATCTTCTCATAAAACTGGAAGCAAAATACAAGTAGGTGAAGATTTTGAAGGAACGTATACAACAACTCGAAGATAAAAAGATAATTCTTAAAGAGGAATTGGCTGCCGTTCAGTTCAAGTTGAAGGGCATTGAAGAAGACGTGAGAAACCTACAACAGTTGAGGCAAGACGACGAAGAAAAGTCCTCAAAGGTGGAGGAAGAAATGAAAATGATTCACTACACTTTAAAAGAGATCAAAAAAGATTTAGCGGCGACTAAATCTGAGAATGAAGTGCTAAAGAAGAAGATTCGTCATCAGTCTCGGTACGTGCCCGGTGCTCTACCACTAATGCCTGTACACTAAGTGAGTGAAGACGCGAATGCTTTGAAAAATCTAGGAGAATTTTGCATACAGATGGTAATTAGTAAATATCTATCGGACAAAGGATTTTAGGACGTGCTCAGGCATATTCGCTCAGTTCAATTAAGAGGAAAGTTATATTTACACCCCCGTCAAGTTATAAATTTCAATGATATTAGGACTGACAAAATTGGAAGAGCCCGATAGGCCGGGTCACAAAAGATAAGTACACATTACTGAAGCCGACAAAATTGATAGCGCAGTACGTATACTGACACGGTTGGAAGTCTTAGAAGAATCTTTTAAGTTGTGAAGCCTGTTATTTCGTTCACTACTAATCAACAGCTTGTTTGAAGAAGTTAAGAACTGACTAAAATAAGGTAAGCTATTTTGATTTTGGGAACTTTATGTCGTCAGCCACTTCCTTACCTTTGCGAAATATCTGGACTATCTTAACAATAAATTTAGTAGCCTATCTCATATGGTAAAAATGGAATAGTTAATTATTTTGAGAAATTTTTCAAGCAAAACACTCCGCAATACAGGGTACTAGTAGTTGTGAATCGATTTCACGATGTCGGACCGGGTAAAGTCTCTCTTCATGATCACATATAAATATCAATAAAAATTTATAAGTAATGGTTAAAGAAAACTGCTAGAAAAAGAAATTCGTAAAACCAATAAATTTGCTCAAAAATATCAAGATTTAATATGTTTCGTTAGAATTACTGTCACAGCATAAGTTTTACAAAATTTTCAGTTTTCAATTTAAATTCGAATATTCGCAAGAAAAATCCAAATATCAAAATATAGTTCCTTGACCACTGTAAAGCGGGGAAACTGTTTCGTACACATCGTTCATCACTATTTCTTGGAGATTAATTTTACGATATGAGGACAGCGGTTAAAGTTAGTCGGGAAAGTCTGTTTTCCGATATACCGACTGACGTCGTCCCAGACTTCCAAGACAACTAAAGTTTATTTTTTCTTGCGTATGACAATGACTTTCAAGTTTCAAAAGAAGCGATCGCACTTCATTGTTTTCTGCTGGAAGACGCCAAGTAACCGATTCGATCTGAGTAGTAGTGTAGGGATGGCACGGGCCGGATTTTGGACGGGGAAGGGGACGGGGACATCAATCATTCATCACATATTAGCATAAAATGACGGGGATGAATTTTTAACTCTAAAACTCAACCAAGCAAACAAGCAAGCAAGGTCTAAAAAATTATACTTTGAGAAACGCAATGGCTACGTTATTCCAGTTAGGATCTCGAGGCTATCACGCTACCGTCAATGAATTCAAAGGACTAATGAAATTAAATGTTTTTTTGAAACAATCTTATGTGTTGAGCGAATTCTCGATAACACCTTCCATAATTCTTTTAAAACCAAACACCAAAAGTCAGCATTGTGTTGGATACAATAGTCATCAAATACTCCGCGAAGTATTTCTTGAGTTTGATGAGGGATATCTTAAGAGTTTGGAAGATTTAAGATTTGTTGATTGCTGTAATTTAGTGCCATCCCTACTCTACTAATGATCCGTTCTTGGAAATGGTCTGATTTGAAGCTTGTAATATTGGAATAAATTCGAAATTTCCCAAATTTGATCAAATGGAATATTTTGGTGAGCTATTTATGCAAAAGAAATTTTCCCTGAGCTCAACCGAAAAAAGTCGGTACCAGGATCCTTAAATYTTGCGATTTTACAAGCCCTTTATTAGAACCAAAAACTGCCTATAACTGAACCTCTTCCTCGTATAAAAAAAACTGGTATAGTTAGAGAAAGAAAAAGAAACTTTTTTAGGGAAGACCGATTTTAAGCGATAAATCTGTAAGTCATACGAGTTTTTATTCTTATCCAGAAACACTCATGACTGATAGTTTCCACTAATTAGAAGTACATACAAAAGGTCTTAGTGAAAATCCTTGTAAATTATTTAATAGAATCTCAATATATTTTTCTTGGAATAGCAAAAGTTTCTATAGCATAGTCTCCTAGCAGCGCTTTCAGTGTCGTCGAGAGTGAGCGCTATAGCGGCTGCGTAGGTGAGGTTATGAAGTTTTATGCACGAGAAAATGCAACAAACTCCTGGCAACTACATTATTTTCCAGAACTCATAAATTGTGTTTACCAAAGTTCATCGTGTTCGAGTAAAGTTTCTTCTTGGTAGACAATGTGCAACGTTGTGTTATTGGCTGCGGTTCCACTAGGAGTTTAATACTGAATTACAGTCTGGCTTTACCCTCTGTCGATTAAACCATTATTATTAATATATGTAAATTAGTATAACACGTGATTATTTAGTGACGGAGCACACGACAGTTTTAAACAACACGAGGTTGAATAAGACGATATGGTGTCAGAACGGGATTGAAAAGCCAAGAAAATTAAAATAAAAAAAAAACGTAGAACAGTCATCCGTGAATTTTGAAGAAAAAGTGAAGTTATAAGCACTCGGAAAAGATGGGAGACGCCGAACACGTCGAACAACCAAGCCCGCCAAAACAGATATCTGTGTGAACTATCAAGTTCCACACCACCTGAAAATATTTAGCTTTAAAAATCCGAGGAATGGCATAAGTGGATTCGTCGATTCGAAAGATTCCGAAAAGCCACATGACTCGATAAAAAGGACGATTACTATATCGACTTTCACAACACTGTGAATTCCAGACACTGAGCGACGAGCTAATTAGAGATGGGATCGTGGGAGGAATTAGAGATCGAAAACTCTCAGAAAAGCTTCATGATCGACTGGATGCAAAAGTGACGCTAGAAACCGCAGTAAGACCGGTAAAGCAGTCAGAAGTGGTAAAAAAGCAGCAGAGCGTGTTGCGTAACAGCGCCAAAAGCCAAAACGCCAGTGTCGATAGAGTGCAAAAGATTCCAGCCCAAACAAGTGAAATTTGCAACAAACGAGCCGCAGAAACCAATCAAAACAACATTCCAGAACAGAAACCAAAACAGCATCCCAAGAAAGAATGCCCAGCGAAGGATTCAAAATGCTTAAAATGGTTCAAAGGAGGACATTGGGGTAAAGCTTGTCGAAGCAAGAACACAGAATGCAAAATTCAGAAAAGGGTACGAAATGTGAGCGTATCCTCAGACAGCGACATCGAAGAATCATTCGACTTCGGAGAAATAGTTAATATCGACAAAATAAATACAAACAAATACTCGATGAAAACCATGCTTCAATTCAATGGCAAGAAAGCGTTAGAGCCGGTTCAAGATATACACAGGTGCTGACGTCACCGTCATACCAGAAGAGAAGTTTGAAGAACTGCAACTCCTGGGGGAGTTAGAAAGGCTTACCATAAACCACGAAACGAAACGAAACGAAACGACACAATAAAATGCGAAACGAGGATTTCGCATTTTACAGACCTTTAAAATACGAAACCGTCATTTCGCATTTTACAGATCTGTAACCTGAGTCTTTGCGATCCCATGTTTAACTGTAAGCTTACTCACGAAATTAGATGAAAACTGTGTAGCTCCATGTCTTAAATTAGAGATTACTTTAAATCTCAGTGGGAAGAACTTTCCATGTACCAAAAGCCACAAATTTACAAACTATGTTCAAATACTTCAACTCCTTCAACTCCTGTTGTTGTGGCGCCATTTTGAATGCACAAGGACCCCAATGGAATCATAATATATGACAGCACAAAGGAAGGGAGGGAGCGTTGCGTCCGACACTAAAAACGGATGCGAGGGAGACTAGGAAAGGATTAAAGGTTTCAAAAATGATAAATTAGTTTAAAGCGGCATTTTCATTATGACGTAATGATGACATCATAGAAATCGTTTACCGCTTATTTTCTCGAAACTAGACCTAAACTTTCGAAGCGACTTGCGCCAGTCGATAGTATTTATCAAGGCACCCAACATATTGCAATATGAAAAAAATGTATGAGAGCGTTTACCAAATATTACGCGATGAATATTTTCATGGACTTTTACTATTAGTCCAGCCTGTCAACTTTATACCCTCAAAATCGGGACTTTAATTTAGTGGATTCAATATTTTTAGTAGCTACAATATAGGTACGGATACAGACACTGTCCTTATCGAGTATAAATCAAATTGTGACTTTCTTTCTAACGTTATGGATTTTTTTATATGAAGCTAAATGACCCCATTTGTCGTCAAAAGCGATTTCGAAACCTTTAATCCTTTCCTGACATTGTGTGAAAAGTGCTTGCACATCGAGTTATTCAAGACGAAATTGTAGCCGTTTCAATGCGGCTAGGTGTGTCAGGCCAAAACTACCCAGAGCCTCCTTAAGTATCTTGGTTTCCATATCGAGAGAGAATTTACACTGCCTCAATCGATACATATTCAAGATATTTTCAATATGAGATCCTAAACAATATTTTATATTTAAACCGTGACCATAGATTTATAATAATAGATAATCCTTCATGTTCGTTTTGTTGTGTGTATCCCGAAACTATAGATCAACTATTTTTTGGAATGCTTAGAATACAAAACTTTTTCTCTCGACATCAGGAATTGGTTTTTAGAAGTGATCAAACATCTATTTACCAGCATGTAGTCACGTTAATGTTACGTTTAATTGATTATTTCATTATGTAAAATGTGCACTTATAAGGCAAGGAAAAGAGGTAAAATTCCAAATTTTGAAATATTCAAAAATTACTTAAGATACAATGAAAAAATTGAATATATGGCGGCCAAGGAGAAGAATATTATTTCGAAGCATAAACAAAAATGGGAAAAATATATTTCGTTTTAAATCCATAGATGTTTCACGATTTCCGGGTAAAGCTTCTCTTCACATATAAATATCAGTCTTCCTGATTTATATTAAAATTTATAGAATGTTTAGAAACGAGCCGAAAATAGAGTGATTTGTATGGAGTAATTATATATTCAAATGGTCATATCTCAGCTTAAAGTTGTCTCATTCTCATCAAATTTGGTGTGTAAACGTCTTTTCTGATTGTCTATCGAATTTGTTCACTAAAATATGATCAAGCGAAAATTAATTTTTGCGACGTCATCACTTGAGTACTTTGACGTGGAACGAAGCGACGTAAGAAACACGAACACATTAAATCGAATTCAAGTACATTATTACGTCGAGTTAGTCCAAAGTCAAGCGCCAACCGAAAACTTATGATATTCCCGATGAACTACATGAACTTAGATTGCTTAACAATATTGGTGTGATTTGCATAACAGAAACCTGGCTGTCATCAAGTATTCCAGTCTCTTCTGTTGCTATTCCTGAATTTAAACTTTTTCGTAAGGACGGTACTGACCGTACTGGGCGTGGAGTTTGTGTTTATTTAGACCATCGAATACCATGCAAACTACTTCAGTCATGCGATGAAAACATCATTGAGTCGTTATGTTTGTCGATGCGACAATTTAGTTTACCTAGAGATATTACCTCCATCATACTTGGTGTTTTCCACCATTCAACGTCCTATGGCAACCCTGGAAAATATCATTCTGAAAGACCACATACAAAACAACCTTGACAAATTGCTTACTAAACAGCCTAATGCTCTTTTAGTAATTACTGGTGATTTCAATCCCAACACAACTGGACTCTGCCCTAAGAACATTACACGAGCTAACACTTTAAAACACTAGTCACCTTCAAGACAATAGATACTTGGACTTTAGACTGGTTTTTGACTAACAGACCAAAGCTGTTTAATCTATCATAACTACCTAAAATAGGATCATCTGATCATTATACAATCCTCGCTAATCCAACAACATTATTACCTCACAAATCAACCATCAACAAAATCAAAGCTCGTGACACACGTGATAGCGCATGGCGCGCCCTTGGCCGCTGGATCACCCAAAAGGATTGAGTGCAAGTTCTAAAAGCTCCAACATGTAAGGACAAATATGATATCTAGATGTCAGAGCTCAACACAGCGATTGATACATTTTTACCACGCAGTGAGAACCTGAATAAAGCGACATCCAACTGGCCGCCCTTGGATGACTAACGGAATCAAATCTGCGATTCGTAAACGTCAAACAGCATTCTTACGCCATGGGAAAGACTTGCTAACCTATAAATTCTGGGCCGGGTTGTTCAAAGCTGGAATAGCGCTAATCCAGGATTAACTCTATAGGTCTTATTAAGAGTTAACCCATGCAGGATTAGCACTAATCAACCTTTGAACAACTGGGCCCTGGAGATACAAAGTGCAACGCGACATCAAATCAGCAAAGCGCCAGTTCTATCAGAACAAAGTTGCCGACGTACAGAGAACCAACCCTATGAAGTCATGGTGGAGAGCAATCAGGGAGATGTCCGGTCTGTCCACCCAGTCTGAATGACACCACCAGTTTCTTGACGAAAACATGGACGTCAAAGTTCTTGCATACAAGATTAACAACTTCTTCGTAAGTCTAACAGATGATTTTCCATTTATTGTACACCCTCAGTGTTCACAGCCTGTTCCACATGACCTATATGTAACTGTGGATGAAGTAGTTCACTCTCTATCATCGCTGAATGCATTGAAAGCCACCGGTCCTGATAACCTACCTAATCGACTACTGAAGGAATTTGCACCTGAATTAGCTACAGTCATCCAAGGCTTATACGATCAGTCTCTTATAGATGGTTCCATTCCTGCCATCATCTATTGTAACGCCTATTCCCAAAGCTAGGTCTACATCTTGCAGGCCATTTATGAAGCAATAGATGGTGGTAATGCGGGTGCTCGGATATTTTTTGCCGACTTTTCTAAAGGTTTTGATCTGATAGGTCATAACATCTTAATGGACGAGCTGAAATGTCTGGAAGTATCTCCAACACTTATTAGCTGGGTTGTCGGTATTCTCTCCGAGCGTTCACAAGCTGTAAGAATCGGAGAAACATTGTCGGACTGGAAACTACTTAATGGAGGAATACCACAAGTCACAAAGTTAGGAGTCATCTTGTTCACAGTTATGACCAATCGTCTTCTCCATAGTTGGCACTTGAGGTCCAAATTCGTTGACGACACTACTGCCGTTGAGATTCTACCTAGGAATTCCATCAGCTATTTGAATACGGCAGTCCGTGATATCCATCAATTCTCTACAACACACAATATGAAACTGAATCGTGTAAGCAAAAGCTGATTTACTTTATGAAAAATCCTAACTTCACAATAAGACCAATTAATATAGGTGATACTGTTGTAGACAGTGTATCAAGCTATAAGATACTGGGTGTGTACATGGATCATAACCTCAAGTGGAATAGTCACATTGACTACATCGAGAAAAAAGCATTTAAAAGGCTGTACTCGTTGCGACTTCTATAGTGAGCTGGTGTTGACCCTTGTAACATCCCAAAGGTTTATAATTTGAGTACTATTCGACCTGTCCTGAAATATGCTACCCCAGTCTGGCAATCAATTTCTGATGCACTATCTGCTAGAATTGAATTAATACAGAAAAGAGCACTGCGTATAATATATCCAACTGCAGGTAGCTATGATGAGTCTCTTAAGAAGTCTAAGCTAGAAACTTTACCCAGCAGGAGAGCCTCATTATGTTTTCAATACATGGACAATTAAATCAGCAAAAGACCAGTAAACCATCCATCACAGTCAGCAGAACGACAATAAGGTCGACCACTAGAACAACAGCAGGAACGACGGTCAAAACTGAGCCACGTAAGTGCACCGATTTTTCTCCACTCGATTACTATGGCAACAAAAAGGCGTAGCAATCGATCATTTTTCTTTGGTGTCCAGTTTTACACGATATCTTTTCTATGATAGCAGCCATAGAACAAAAAGAAGCCAGACTTTTTCATGTTCAATTATTTCTAACTAATATTAATTTGTCGAATGTCTTAGTTAATATGTTATACATATACGTTTCGATAAAGATATACTATATTTTATGCACATTTTGTCCATACATTTTGTCCAATAGAGATTATTAGCTTTATTATTAGTTTCATAGCAATTGCTCGTAGTTTTATTTACCTTTGTATACAGTTCTTTAATTCAGTTTTATACTGTTAGAGAACTCAATAAACTATTATCACGATCTGCGAAAAATGGCTTCAAAAACTTTAAGTATAATTCACGAACCTTTCAGTTGAAGTAGAGCCACCATATACCTCGCGAACATTGACTTTTATACTTTGATAGTCGTTTGTACAGCAATTTCATGCGCAGTGAGCTTTGTACGTCACTGCCATGTGCAATAAGTGCAAAAAAGGCTCCCACAAGTTGAAGACAACATGCCGAACTCAAGACAGGGGCACTAGTCGACGATAAATTATGGGTCGTCGATGATCGAACGTGAGGCTGACTTTGATGAGGCTCTAAGTCTTCATCTAAACTTGGATGCACCTTTATCTCAGAGGTCGTCCTCATTAGTATTCTTTACATAAAGAATATTAATGAAGAGGACTTTATCGGGTATAAAGGTCCATGCACGTGACGTGTATGGTGGCTCCAATTGGACCAAAGGCTTGTGAATTATTCATAAGTTTTTGAATTTTCTTTTTCCAAAATTGAATATACTGTAATATATTTTGATTCAGAGGTCAATATCTCCAATTTTCACTTTGATAACGTCAAAAATGGCTATTAATCAATTCAATCTATGTCTTAAATTGCTTACTATCAATCACGTGACTTTTTGGAGTTGACTGGGGGGCAAACAAGCGGTTTGCTGGGGGGCAACTTGTTGATGCTAAGTCAAAACATATCAAAATAAGTCCTCAAACTCTTGTATTTGACTATTTTCACGACATCAAACCAGAAAACAAGAGATCAAAACAACCTCCAGGATTCTACAAGCCATCAAAAAAGAGCTATTACTGGAAGTGACGTCTATTGATAGCAACCTATTGCTGAAACAAGAAGAAATTTTGCGGGCACTTGTTAACCTTCATATTGTTCAATATAAAATGGCAGTAGCTACATGTAGTCGTAGACTGCGTATTTTTTAAAGTATCAGTATTTTACTTTTTTCAGAAAAAATCCGGGAACCACGATGGACCGAAATCATGATCAAAACAACATCGAAGACGAAATTCGTAGAAACAAGGAAAGGATAGCGTCTTTGGAGAAAGATTTAAGAGAAAGTTTGCGCAGCAATAAAGATCTTAAAGATAGGATCAACGCTTTAGAAAAGGAAATACAAACCTTGAAAGATGAGAATGAATTGTTGAACAAACAGCTGCAAGAAATGAAAGATGATAATGAATCAATGAAAAAGAGAATGGAGATTTTAGAGAAAGAAAATGAACATCAGAAAGCTGTGTTGATTATTGTGCAAATAGGCACAGCCATACAGAGAAAATTGTGCAAGTACGTCCTGGGAGAATGCTTCAAAGAACGATACTTCTATACGTTTAAAGAAATAGACATATACGTGCAGCAAGATCTGAGACATGACAAGAAGGCCCAAGAGTCAGCAAGAAAGCGGCTGAAGGAAATAAGGGAAAAGATTCCTTGGAACCAACGTTTGGTGGATAGTCTTCAAAAACTTAATCGAACGAGAATCGGCATTGCTCATCCTGACCTAAGCAGCGAAAACATCCAACAAGCAACAGATTATTTGAAAAAGGAGAATATTTTGGACAAAGGAATGGTCGACAATGTTAACGAACTAAAACAACTATGGAAAACATCCGAAGAATGGTTAAAGTAAGTTTGCATTTTGTACATAAATTAATGCTTTCATAAATCAAAATATCTCTGAATGCGTTATGATTTGCAAAACCTATTTCTGAATGAAGTCTAGTGCAGCAACAAAATCTATTGCATGGTCAGGGTATATTATTTTGAAGGTTTAGAAAGTGCTTTTTATTATAACCTGAGTAAGGAAGGGGGTGAGGCGAGGCGAAGAAAGGGAGAGAGGTTAACTCCAATGCTTTTCGAAACTTGGGCAGCGCATCCATATTCGCGCGTCTGATTGGACAAATAATTTACCAAAAGTAAAACTACAAATCTAACACTTCATCAGTTTACAAGACAGTCATCTTGTTACTCTTTCCCAGGCCTTGAGGCTAGGGGCACGAGTTTTAGTTTCGGTAAGAAATCTATCTATCTATCTGTTTTGTTGTCGGGTTTTTGATTAGTTCATGTGTAATGACGTCATCCCTTTCATGAGTGAATCACATGCCAATAACATGCGGATTTAAGCGAAACAAGCAAAGAATATTACGTCAAGAGACGTAAGATTACGTCGAGTTGTCAACTTTTCTACTGCATGGTTTTTCTCCTTGGGACGCTCACTTTACTTATAAACGCATACACTTATCTTTGCCGTTCGAAGCGTTATGATCTCCTTTAATTTTTCTTCAAAAAAATGGTGGTTCATTAAAAAATATCGATAAATTATAAAATGTCAAAGCAATTATGAGAAAGGTTTTGAGCAAATATTAGCCTGTATTTTGGTTTTAAATGAAGCATTTTGATTTAAAGCGAGTTATAAAATTCCCCTGCGAATGTGCATGTTTATGAAACACGCACAAAAAACTAATTAAGTATGCTAAAATGAAGACCGGAACTGGAATTGGAGTTCCAAATTGAGTTATTCGATGACTTTCATAAGTATGGCATAAACGCTCTGCCTCAAACGGCTTACAACACTGTCGTTCGACATTTTGCAACTTATTTTTTGTTTCCTGCGATCAAAATTGTCAATTTTCCAAAAATGGTACTATAGGTCCAAAGTTCCGTCAGCCACCAGATTCCAAAAAAAAAACAGGGCACGAGTGAATCCTGCTAGGCAGGGTCTAGTATTTTATCATCGATCTAGCTAACTTAAGTTTTTACATAATGTATAAATTAAGTATTTCACTCAAATGAATTATAACGTTAAGAAAGACGAGTTTGAGAGCTTTGTGTGCTGCTCAAATTGTAAAGTTCCTGATAAGACTGCTTTTCTTCATATTCCGTAGCACATCTTTGGTCTTTTTTCCCAATAATTTTCTCAGATCTTCCTCTATACTCCTTGACCATCCTCCTAACACGTCCATAATGAGATTGTACTGATGTACTTTGTACCCAGGGTATTGACCTTGCAATTCCCAATGCAGCGGACCGTACTTCACCTTCTTCTCTTCATCTTTCTTTTCTCTATTCTCCACCCGTGTGCAGCTCATCTCCAGAATCACCACTTCCTTGCTTTTGTGATTTACAATTTTAGCATCAATTCTGTTGGCTTTTAACTCGTGGTTCTCGCCGTAAGTTGGAATGTCCCAGAATGCATGAACGTCATCGGTAATATACTCCAGTTTCTGTCTAATTGGTGAGTGCCATGCTGGAACACTGTCGATCAGCTGAAGTTCTCGTAACAGCTCAAAGTATAAAACTTTCAGCGCATTATTGTGTCTTGTTACGTACTTGTTCTGTGCAAGAGCTGAACATCCCGCTAACACATGAGCAACACTATCTGGTTTCTCATTACACATGCGACAGGTCACGTTGCTTGACTGAGATGTCTTAATCCTCTTCACTTGATATATCTTTGTAGGTAGAAGCTGTTCATAAAGCTCGTACATTCCAGTCACCACATAAGTTGGGCATGTCATCCACTCTTATAGCCATGCGAAACAGTTCTTAGTATTAAGGGTGTCATCATCCCCATTTTCAATAATTACCTGTGTATTTATACTAGATATTTATATTTACATATATTTTATCTCTCTCTGCCAGCAGGGCCGCTGGAGGTTCTGAAGATGGTCCTGAAGGCGGTACGATGAATTTGTCTACCGCAGGACGACAGAACCAAGACACCTATGCCA